CAGGCCTCTCTCATCTTTTTAAGTGGGAGAACTTCCACAATTGGTGGCTGACTAAATACTTCTTTGCCCCACTGTACCTATACTACTACTCTTCCTAATTTAGTACCTGAATAGATTGTTCCTTTAAGGATAGCTAGCCTTGAAGAGTGGAGTGTCTATCAGTTGAAAACAACTCTTGGTAGTATCTACTTACAAAATGAAGCTTTCACTGAGGTTTATCATATGTCTAACAGCAGAGAAGAGATCACAGTTTCACATACTGTATGTCAGTTAATTGCATTATAACTAAATGCAGAAATGCCTGTGCTCCTTCAATAAGCAATAAATCCCCTGAAACGAGTGCATAATGCTTTGGATCTTCCTACAAATGTTCACTGATACTGTCCTATTGTACCTAGCTGAAAAAAACACGAAGTATGACATGGTATGTTTTCAGTACAAGATAAATATATCTGAAGTTATCAAAGGAATCCAGGGAGAGTGTTAAAAAAGTCAAGATGGCATACAGCTGAAGCCCTGCTCCTTTTTACATGTGTGCAATGCATCTTAAAAATGGTCAAGGCTTCAATCACGATTGTGCTTGCCATCTTGACTTTATTGACCCCCCTGCAAATGCCCACTGATCACCCTATGTGCATCCGTTCTATTCCATTTCTTTGAAGTTATAAGATCTAGGTCAATTAAGAAAAAAAGCGTGTTCTTGAATGGTGGAATGAGCAATTAGCCTTAAACACGATTAGCTTCTATGTGGAACACGTATAGTCCACTATCAAATGCAGTATTCTTTTCTAATCAAGAAAACTGCAAGCTGAAAGATCTTATAGACTACAACATAAAGGGCTTTCCATGAAAATAATTTGAGATTTTCTGTATTCATAGGATTTTGAGTAAAGTTAGCAGTCATAGGATAAAAGGACCTGTCTTTTTATGGATTGCTAACTGGACAAAAAGCAGAGAGAAAAAATCAGGAATCAAGGGCAATTTTCTCAGTGGAAAAGTCAAACAGATAATATCAAACTGTTCAGAATGGTAAAAACTATGCTGCCCAACTCCAAATGACTCTGGATCTCTTTACATTGGGTGCATGATCAACCAAATGGAAATATAATTCAGTTTAAGGAAATCTAAAGTGATGCACGTAGGGCAAAACCCCAAATTCGCTTATACATGAGGTCTCTGTAATAGTCAGGAAAAAGATCTTGTGATCACAATGGATTGTTCAGTGTTAATTTAGCATGACACAATTATGAAAAAGGTAAATTTCATGCTAAGAATGATTAGAAAAGGATTTAAAATAAAACTGCCAGCACTGTAATGCCCCTACATTACAGTTTGCCACATTTGAGAAATATATAATAGAGCTGGTAAGAGGGCAACCAAAATTATCAGGGGTTCAAACATATTCTGTATGAGAAAAGGATAAAACAATTGGGAATCTACATTCAAAAAAAGGTGATGGAAGTGGGAAATCAATGAGGTATATAAAATTATGCATTGTGTGGAGAAATTGACAGGCTCAGACTTCTCTAATCTGATTTATTAAAAGGAGAAAGGAAAAGGTTACAGAAATATCAACAACTTAATGTTTCACTTTTAGGACCCAATTAATCTCAGAGCTTTCTTTATTCTCTTAACAATACCGATGAACCAGAGAGCTAGCTATCCATTTCCCCAATAACTAGCAATGTTTTCCAAACCACCCTCCAATTTCCCAGGCACTGAGATGACCATAACGATGGGCTTTCATTCCCAGAATTCCCCAACCAATCTGACTTTTGCTAAGAATTATGAAAATCTTAGCCCCCCCCCACACCCTTCCTGACCCACGCCACACCCCACACATGCCATTTGTCTGAGCAATAGCTAGTTTTAACCCATCCTACCTGATACAATACCAATTTACCAAAGCGATTTTCCCTTCATCTTGTCCCCCCAAGAACAATACATGGGAAAATGTGCTTTTATTCCTTTACTGCTTCCTGTGCCATTTTAAGTTATTTAGCATACCATGCAAGCCTATACTGTTGTAATTTTCCAGGTGACCCCTTCATGTTAGTTCTTAGTTTAACACAAGTTAATAGTTTGCTCATTTTCTTCTTTTTTGTATGCCAATCTGTATTCTCTTTTGGCCTCTCCACATATTCCTGTAATACTGTAAATATCTCCATACAGGTAGTCCTTGACTTATGACCATTTGTTCAGCAACCGTCCCTGAAGTTATGGTCACTGTAGCACCCCACGGTCATGTGAACCTAATCTGGGTGCTTGGCAATACGTTCACACTTACAACCAATTGTCAAGCACCCTGTGATCACATGATCACCATTTACAACCTTCCATGCCAGCTTCCTCAATGGGGAAGCCAGTAGAGAAGGTTGCAAGTCGCTGGGGTAAGTCTTCCCCAGCCCCTCTGAGCTTGTGCCAGCCACTCGTGCACCCCCTCCCTCCCCAACCTGTGCAATGCCTCCTGCACCCCACACACCCTTCCTGACCCACCCCACACCCCACCCCACACACCCTCCTCGACCAGTGCAGCACCTCTCACGCACCTTTCCTGACTTGAGCAGCACCTCTTGCACATCCTTCCTGACCTGTGCTGCACCCCCATGCATCCTCCCTGACCTACACAGTGCCTCTTGTGCACCCTTTCCGACCCGTGCAGTGCCCCTCACACACCCGTGCACCCTCCCACACCCAACAGCAGCCACTTACCTGTTTGCCAACCTGGGACTTGCAACTTCCTGCCGGCTTCCCCACTGACTTTGGTTGTGGGAAGCTAGCAGGAAGTTGCAAGGAGGACCTCGCCTAATGACCGCAGTGATTCAGTTAACAATAGCAATCGGGACTTCAGGGATTGCCATCGCTAAGTTGGTGGGGTGTTCTTTTAAAGGAAGGAATACTCATAACTAAGTTAGCAATTTTTCCTAAATGACTTAAGGTAATTATAATGCTGCAAGGTTGAAAGAATGACAATCAGCACAAGAAGATAGTTCATCTGTTTCTCTCATGTTGTCTAGCTAAGAGAGCAAATTCTCTGAACTCAGAAATACTGTTCAGCCTGTTGATTAAGAGCAAGACTGAACTAAAGGTAATATATGTTAAACTTCCAGAGAATCCAATGAATAAAAATAATTTTGTATATTTAAGTATACATCTGAACATGTAAAATGGGACAGCAGAAACAAATGTATAATTCAAGACGTCCAGCAACAATTTGTTGAGTGTAATTTAGTGGCAACTGCAGATTTTCCTCCATATATGCAAAATAGCTTTGCTTTGAAGAAACTGCTGAACCAGTTTTCACTCTCAACAATCATCTACTTTAAAGAGAAAAAAAAAAGCATTACCTTTCTCTTTTGTGTCTCCCCATCCACTTACGTAACATGAGTATTGCGATTTATTCCACAGAGGAGATTCAGGTAAGCAGATGGGCTGAATATAATCACTGTATTTGATAGATTTCACTAGCTTAAACAAGGCAACATCATTTTCATTGCTGTCCGAGCTATAATTAGAATGAACCCAAATAGCTTTGACTCGGCACTTTACAGTATGATAGCTGTATTTATGAAGATGGTGCAAGCCAATCACAACCCTCCAAAAGGCTGGCTCCCTAGAACAGAATAAAATCCCCTATATAGAATCAATCACTTTACAACTCCTACCTCAAACTGAGACTTAAGAGTTAAGACTTAAATCAAGATTAAAGACTTAATGTCTCCTCCTTCATGCTCTGTATTAAAACTAATATCAAATCAAATAGAAGGGAAAAACAAAATTTGCTGGAAAAAATAATAGCCATACAATGAGTAAAACCACTATGCATAAAATATAAGTCTTGTTTATTGAGATGAGAAAATCCATTTAGCTGACTATTCTGTTTCCAATAGTAATTGAACCAATATTAGAGAACTTCAGAAGAATTAGTTCCACTTGTATAGAAGTCTTGTTTAGTTTAGGTTTGAACAAAAGATTTTTCTTTTAAAACTAATTCTTGTCAGTCAAAAATGGGGGGCATTTTCAGTTTTCTTCTACAACTGAAATTTTCAGCCAGCTTTAAAGAAATGCTGAATTAAATCTGTAAAAGCCAGAACAATGATTCATCTTTTTACTGAAAGGAATGTTGACATCAGAAAAGTAGGACAAACCTGTAGTTGTCTGATTGTACTTTTAACAGTTTACAGTATTTTGAAAGTGAGTATTAATTTGGACATGCAGGATGATGTAAACTATAAGTTTATAAACACAAAATCCCTGCTACACAGAGATCAGAGCTGGTATCGACATTCACCAACTATTATTCCCTAATATTGTAGAAAAGTGTTTCAGAATGGTAAAAAAAATAATAATTGCAAGTTCCAAATACTGATAGAAAGCTCCAAGGTGGCTAAAGAGAACTCATTTTAGAAGATGGAGAAAAGCACCAAAGTTTTGTCACAAGACCCCATTTTAATCTAAATAGATTGGAAGTTAAATTAAAAAGTCATTTCTTAGTACCTGGGGAGCAGATGGAATTCTATCTGTGCTGCCCAAGGAACTGAGAGATAGCCAAGGAGAAACCTATGCCATGGAGAGCTGAAGGGAGTCAGCATGAGAGGAGGAGGAAGGGAAAGCAACAGGAGAAAGGAACAGGAAATATCTGAACTGAGCATACTAAATAGACTGTAAGGTTAAAAAAACCTCCACTCCTCACTACTTATACTTCCAGCCAATTACACAAAATTAAAAAAAAACAGACTCAGGGCTGGCAGCATGCTCTTTATCTAGACTGTTACTATTATATGCTGTGCCAGAAATATTTGAACAGATAAGAAGTTTTCTGGAAGCTTGAAGGAGTTCACATATACTCCCTGAAACATTATGCCTTTTTATGATCCTAGACTAACACTACAAAACTCCTCCAAGCTCATTTAAATCCCAGAGGATATGGATAGAGAGATATATAGATACAGATATAGATCTCAGTCAATTGTTTTAACCAATATACTTTCTTTATAGTAAAAGTTAATTTTAAAAGATAACGCAAGACCTGGAGCAGAAGATACATACATGCATGATTTAATGCAGTGAGCTGCTGTCAATATGGAGTTGTTATTGATTAAAGATCCACCACATACATGGCTGTATCCTGCAGGAAATTCATAGAGCTGAAGACTAACTTGCCATGGCCATGCCCCAGGTGGCGCATCATGTCCATCTATAATCTGAGACTCAGTCACTATCTTAGGTCCAAGAGGTCTTTTTCCACATCCTAGAAATAAAAAAGTGATACTGGTAAAATGCATGCCCCATAAAACATATCCTATATTCAACAGCATTATTTGAAGTAAGTACTAACAACCATTATTTTAAATATTCCATTTCTTGTAACACTTCTATTATAGGACTAATTTCCATCTTAGGTATCAGAAGTTGATCAATATTTATGTATTGGGTTGTCAGGCTTAGTATAAATATAATGTCTACTAACCTCTTTCTCCAATCCATCTTAAAGAATTACTCTGTAAATCAGCTTTCCCAAACCTAGATACCCTCCAGATGTCTGGCCCAATGACCCAAATTTTCAGCCATGGCCATGCTGGCTGAGTATTTCTAAGGATCTATGTCAACACACTTGTAAGGTATCAAGATTTGGGAAAGCTGCTGCACATGTTTTAGCCATGATAATAATGTATCTCTACAAATGGATATAGGTAGCCCTCGAGAAATGATGGCAAATGGGACCAGAATTTCCGTTGCTAAACAATGCAGTTGTAAAGCACATCACATGTCCATATTGCTTAGCGACAGCAATCCCTGCAGTCCCCATTGTCATCGTTAAGCAAGGATTGTGGGTCATTAAGCGAGCACCTCCTCACAACTCCCTTCCAACTTCCAACAACCAAAGTCAGTGGGGAAGCCGGCAGGAAGCTGCAAGTCTCAGGTGGTTTGCAAGCAGGCCAGCAGGCAACTGCTGCTGGGTCGGGGATGGTGTGCAAGTGACTGGAGAGGTGTGGCCTGAGCTCAGCAAGGCTTGAGGCAGGTGTGTGAGGGTGTACAGTTGGCCGGGGAAGTGTGGTATAAGTGCAGAGGGGCTAGGGGAGGGTGCATAGGTGGGGGAGATTTACCTAAGCAACTTGCGACCTTCCCTGCTGGCTTCTCCGTTGACTTTGCTTGTGGGAAGCCGGCAGGGAAGGTTGCAGATTGCTTGGGTAACCAAAGGACATTGCAATTGACTTAAGTGAGAGCCGGCTGCCAAGCACCCAGATCGCGATCATGTGACTGCAGAGGTGAGGGGATGGCCAGAACTTTGAGGACCAGTCTTAACTACCATTCATGTAATGGTATATGGGAATGACCTTGGGAGATGGGAGGAAGAGATGCTGCCTAGGGAACAATAAGATAAGAGGGGGATAACCTGCAGCTGTGTAATGGGCAGAGAAAGAAACTCAAAGGAACCTCCTTAATTTATCAGGCTGAAAAAGAGACCGTGGGAGATTTGTACTTTCAGACTTGCAAAGTTCTCTTTTAATACAGCCTTACAATAAAGTAGAATTAGCTCATCTGGTTGTGTTTCCTGACTGGTCTACCTGGGAAGGCTGACATCAATCTTGCAAAGTCTCCTTTAATGTTATATTTTTCCTGTTCAGATCTAATAATCATATTCAGAACTACAGTACTTATCAACTCACATTATATTCATTCATTTCTGTATGTTCAAATATTTCTCATATCATTTCATAAGTTTTCACATTTATGCTCCCGGGAACTATTTATGTCACATACCCTAAAATAACTGTTCAAATAGACCTAATTCACTGCAAAATATTGTTTCTGGTCTAATAATGGTATTCAAATATAAAAAGACTGTACTATTTGCTATATAGCAAATGATTCCTTTACCATGTGTTTTGAAAAGTTGAAAAAAAATTGCTTTCAATGGTTGGATTTTCTTTTGCAATATTTATATTCTGTGTTCATACAACTTTTCACTAAAGTAGAATCTGCTGGTAGAATTGTTCAGTTAAGTATATTTATTGATGAGTCTGCTTTTGCCAACCTTTACTATTAGTTCCTTAGTAGTTTTTTGTTTTATAAAGAAGAGCTGGTTTATCATAACATTTAATGTTGTTTTTCAACTTTTTGGAAGTTGAGGTAGCATTTCTTTTTTAAAAAAATCTAAACTGAATTTGAACTATGCATCTGTGTCCTTCCCTTCCTGCCTTTTGTTCTGTAGGAGATTTTGTGGGGCCAAGTTAAAGCCCCTAACCCAAAGACATCTTACAGAAAATGAAGTGCAGGCTCAGCTATCTAATGTCAAATTGAGCAACTACTCCATTACAAAACACCTTCCCCAGAAAATGAAACTGTCAGAAAAGCCATAGAACCTTCAGAAGGCCAAAGAATTCTGATAAGTAGGGAAAAGATGCTGGGAAGCAAGCAGAGCTCTGAGAAACCAAAAGAAAGTACAGGTAGTCCCTAGGTTAAGAACTCCTGGTTTAAGGATGACCCATAGTTAAGAACGGAGGCTCCTGTAGCAAAATTTGAGTTAAATACACAATAATTCAAGTTAAATATACAAGGATTTGAGTTAATTACACACTACTACTTATACTGTAGTGGGATGCGGTGGCGCAGCAGCTTAATGACGCTGAAAGTTGCCAGCCAGAAATGGTCAACACTTCAGTGGTTTGAGCCCCACTTTCGCGTAGCAGAATGAGCTCCTGCTTCCTCCCCCAGCTCCTGTCAACTCAGCAGATTGAAAACTTACGTGAGTAGATAAATGGTTACTCTCACTATGGTGAGAGGAAAAATGCTGGCGGCCCCTTGAAAAGGGAGCCGGGGGCAGTTGCCGGTAGCGGGGAAGCCACGCATGCCCAAAAAAGGCGCGAAGCAACGGAAACCCCG